TTTAATACTAGCTGGTAATGGACTTCGTTCGCGTGGAATTTGAAAAACTCTGCCATTGTGGGTTCGATTGCCGGGTCGGACAAAATTTTATAGGGTTTTATTAAAATAAAAAAATAAAAAAAATAGCCTAAGTTAAACAACTATCTGCTAGTAAAATATTATCAAAATCGGTCCAGCCGTTTAGAAGATTACATGTAGAAGATAACAAACAGACGGACAAAAAAAACTAGTTTTTAGAATGAAAAAACCTATTTTTTGACATTATAAACATACACTTCAATTTAATTTATTTGTAAAGAAAATATTTTTTTCGGAAGTTTCACTTCTGCCGTGCGTGAATTTTTTATTTTGAACATACACTTTTTTTATTTATCGAAATTTTAAATGGTGTATGTGCTTATGAAATCTTCTAATTCCTTTTTTTATTCACATGTTAGGGAAAACAAATGCAGTTTCAGCTATTGACGTAACCATAAATAAGTATGACTTAGAGTACGAATATTGTTTGCTATTTTAATATTATTGCTATAGTAATATTTCCATTAAATTAATTTGTCGTTTTAATAAAATATATACAGTTTTTGTTTGGTAGATATGCTTTAATAAATTTGTTTAAATGTTGCTGTAGGTAAGTATTTTAAATATTGTGTATTTACAATTACTACTTTAGGAATATAGAGATAAACATATCAGTCTTCTAAATCAATGCTTTGTTTTTATTATTTTTATATTTAATTTCCTACTTTCTACTAACTACAAAGTTAACAGTTCTAAACCGTACTTCTGCAATGGGTGAACTCCATTTCAACAAGTTATGGACGACGCAAATGAAAACGTCTTACGAAATGCGGTTGTAAAATGCACGTAACCGTGTATTTGTAGCTGGCCCGCTTATTCAAAAATCTTCGTGTCGTTTAACAAAGACTTAATAGTTTATTGTTTTACGATAAAACTGCATCATATCAGTTTGCAAAGATACTGTTGAAATCTGACTACGGACCACACGCGAATGAAATTGCATGGCAATCGAAAGACCTCCATTTGAACTTGTACTCCTAGTACATGAATTCGGATTGTGACATGACCAGTTTGTCAAAGATTCCCAAAACGTCAAACGTATAATTTTTATTATTTTGTATGAAATGTATTTTTTCATACATTTAATTATCGCGCCTAGAAAATTGTGACTAATTTTATAAATGACTTATTTATACTTTTAGAAGATAGAAATTATCACACAAAAACCACTACACCTCCTATAAACTTTTGATACCCTAATACTTTAGTCACATTTTGCGACAACTACGAATGGTCTTGACGTTTAGTGATGTCGTTTTATTATTGCTTTTGATGACATTTGCTTTTTATACGACTATTTTGTGGATTTCAAAACACAGGATTTGACCACCATCAATCTTTTTTTTACGGTAGTAAAAGTCACAAGACTAACAAAATAAAATTAAATGTAACCTATTTCATATTACAAAGATCTTTCTTTTAAATAAAACACTTCAACAAAATATTATTATTACCCACGTAAGAAAAAGTTCTAATAGTTTATAAAACTACACCAAACTCTAAACTTTGGTTAATGAACCACGAAAACAGGATTCACTCGAACCCAAAGCTTTCTATGAAACTCTCTGTTACATCCATTACGTTTGCTAGTTCAGTTTGTTAAACTTCTGAGTTAAAAGCTAAACATTGTCTTCAGCTAAACAAAGAGCTTTAGAAAATTACCGAACGGGACGTAACAACAAAAACAAATATACACAACTTGAAACCAAAAGCGAAAATTTCAAAGAAATCGCATACACTCAATCCAAAAGCTACTGTTTGCAAAAACTTTAAGTGAAACTTTATATAAACGAGGCAAAATATGCTTTATTGTGAAGAGTATTGATTTGTTATTAGTTTGTAAGGCTTTTCTGCCGTTATCTAAATCTTCTAAGCGTTTAATTATACAAGTCTCTTGCCATAAAACCGACAATGAATTTATGCATGAAGGGACAGAGAATTTCTCCACTCGAATCGTCGGGATCTTGTACAAAAGGAACAATAGTCTTTAGTTTTAATCTCGCATCGTTTTTTAGTACATTTTTTGGTGTGCAGATCAGGTTCGTGTGCCGCAGGATTTACGACTTACGAGGGCCAGCTTAGGGTTGGCACGAGATAAGCTCCTGAGACTTTATCAGGTGTGAACCAAAGTTGTTAATGTCTCTATAAGATATGCCAGTTAATACGAAATGATATCCAGTTTTTAAATCCCTGTTCGAGCTTTATAGAATTATTTTACGAGTGTAAAAGACTGCTACATTTTTTTGAAAAAAAATGCAATCGTAATGTGCAATTATTGTGTGGCTAAAGCAATATTATGCTGTAGTATTACCAAAATATTTTTAATATCTTTTATAGTTTTCAGTAACTGCCATTGGAATTCGAACAAAATTAAATAAACAGATAAAAAAATGTAAAGTATTTCCAGTGTCCTAACTTGAAGTTAGTGAACACACTGTATGTTTTTTTTTCAATTTGTTACAATTGTTAAATAGTATAAAATCTAGTGTCAATATTATTATTAATTTTTCTTTATTTTTTGTCTCTTTTTTTCTTATCACTACTTAAATATATATCGTGATATATATATATCGCGCTCGGCAGTAAGAATTCTATTATTACATCGCTTTTAAACATTACTAGTACATACTAGCGTACATGACTGGGATTTGGTCAAACTAGCTAGGCTTATATTATTAAGTCGTGTTGTGTCGTGTCGGAAGCATATCGCTATCAGAATACAAGGTGATTAACCTTACACTTCTATCACAAACATATTAATATTTGGTGTTTTGGTGTAAGATCTGATCACACTAAATCAATATGCTTCTGATACGGCACAACACACACATACGACACAATAACAGGAACCTAACCTTTTCACCATCATCATCATCGTTGTCAACAGCCTTTAATCGGCCACTGCTGGACATAAGCCTCTCGTTAGAAAGGAGGTTCTGGTCTACTATACCACGCTGGCCAGACGGGTTATTATAGGGTTTGTTTCAAGTTTTCCTTCTCGTTGCAGTGCTGTTGTCCTGCGTAGTTTGCATGCTTAGTCGACTCTTACGACACCCACGTGATGAATAGGGGAGGTGACACTCCGTATTCTTAATCCGTAACCACACTGACAACTTTTTCATTGGTGTAATTGGTTAGTTTGCCAAAAAATAGCAATATTTTTCGATTTCGTAGTGACCCTGCATTCTCTTTGTGCCCCTGCAACGCGCTCCTGACTGATAAGACATGCTCATGAGTTGAACGCAATTCTTAGTTGTGAGTGTGAGTTTTAAACCTTCGAATGCTTTAACGTTAACTTCGATTTGTATTTATTTTTCGTTCTTGGATTTAAAATTCAAAATATATGTTTTACCATGTAGCTTCTTACAAGCTGTTTTAATTATAGAAGAGACACTAAAGTGAAGGGAAGCTATTTTACGTACGTTTTGTACCGACTTGAATCTTACATGCCATGCAGAAATCAATATTTGCTTCTTTTATTTTATGCATTGCCACACTGCTTTAGATTATCCTGAGTTACTTGTGCACATTACCAGGGATACAGCAAAAGAATATAGGGTACATTTCAATCAGAAATAAATGTGCCCAGGGATGAAAAATTTACTCTAAATGTAATGTAATTTTCAATGCACGTGGCATTGAAAATTACATTACCTTAAGTAATTAATTTTATGTCATTAACTTATTTCTTGCTTGTTGCCAGTTTATGTAAGGCATTGCAGTCACACTACATAATAGTTCGACCAAGCATTGTAGCATTGATTTGGAAATTTATTTCACTGTCACATAACATAACATAACATTACCCAAGGCTGATAATGATTTGTTGATATTTTTTGCTTCATCAAGGACAGTACCTTCAGCACCAGTTTTAGATACCTTCTCAGAACCAGCCAAGTCAACCAGATATAACATTCCCGAAAGTTACACTGTCACATAATTTAAGAAATGAATTTAGTTACTTGTGGAACACACCTCTGGAATTTAATTATTTTTAAATCGACCTATGCAGCGTGTAATCCACGTGTGATCAAAAAAATAGATGCACAAGAACAAAAATTGTAGCCCAAGGTTTCCAAAAATTAAAATCAATAAAAAGTCTTGTGTCTTTAAAATTATCCTTTTCAAGATCAGCTTTGCTTATTTGAGGGTTTCAGTTTGGATTGCTGCGTTTGATTTAAGGGACTAACCAACTTATTCGCACAAAGTACCTTAGTGAAACCAGACTACTTTTACCTATTCTACCAAAATATTCAATTGTAAATCCGAAATTGCAGAATTAATTTTGTTTTCTTTTTAAAAAGGTCAGCTAAAGCGTGTGCTACAATTATAGGACCCAAGGAGATTACTTTTCACCAGGAAGGTAGCTAACATCGAAGTGTGCATTTTGTAAATTTTTAAACGCCTACTGTAAAACCGTACGCAATAAATATCTAATATACCAATAATCTTACTTCAAGCGTCTAACTCATAACTCACAATATAATAGTGTAGGTATACAAGACTGAAAAATTACCTTAGAAATTCATAAGTCACTAAAAAAAAGGTTTCTACAGTTATAGTTAGTTATTTCTAAAAATATAAATGGCTACCAAGTAATAATCAGTCACATATTAAAAAAGTATTTAAGTCATTAATCGACAAAACAAATATATGTATATTCTACACTGTAGCTTTGATTTTATATGATATGTCAAACTTCAAGGTATTTCTTTAATTTTTTTCAGTTAAAAAGTACTCAAGTATTATCTGACCACTGCTTGTATTTTATTTTCGGTTATTAAAAAAAAAATGAGACAACCTATCTATAAAAATAAATAAAGGCCACTATAAAATTGTTCTTAAAGTAACGCTTTAAGCAAATGAGGGACATTTATTCACAATTATTTTTAAAATGTATTTTTACTATTTGTCAATCGTACCTTAAGTTACAAGCCGTCATCGTTACACCAGCATCACCAAACACCTAGTTAAACTCCACTAAACACACCACAGTCAAGTCAAATAAACACAAGAAATAAAAAATAAAAAGAAATAATGTTCCAAGTTTGAATCTCCCGCCGGTTTTAACGCGCTCGATGTGCGCAAGCGCGCGGCCAGTGGAATGACTCACTGAACTGCGTACACGCAGCCTCCAGCGGAATATCTGTCGGGAACATGCGCGCGCATCTTTGTCACCCCCTCCACGCCCAACGCCATTCATGAAAATCGCCGCTGAATGGAGCTTGGAGCTTTTCAAACTCCTTTTCAAGTATACAGTACGAGGACTTACAATTGCATTTACTGTTTTGTTTTATTTTGCACTTGAACTTGTAGGGGCTTGTATAGTCCAGCCTTGTTGGTTTACTGTGGGTTTTTTAGATATTTAAAAAGCCGTAAAAGAACTTTTTTTTTTGGGAAAAGTTGATTGTTAGCCATATGTAATACACGTGTGACTTGACAGTAAAAGTTCATTAAGCTCCTCTTTTCATTAGGAAAGCTATCAGGACCATTTTTTAAAATAAGAGTGAAATTTTAAGAGTAAAGAGTAAGTTGTATCAATAATATAAACAATATTTTTACATGCAATCGTTTATACGTGCAAATTATTATGCATTTTAATTGCTAAAAAAAAGCCAAATTTTACAATTTGTATTGCTATTGTAACAACTATTTATTAACATCCATTATTAACATTGAATTGGTAATGCTATTAACATACATTTATATGTTAAAGGAGTATTTAAAAGAAAATATGTATATGTGTTTGTGAAAAGCCATACAATGAATGACTTCCAGTTATACTGACCAATAAAATAATCAAAAAATAAAAATTCATAAATTCAATCAGATTGACCTTTACTAAGTATATTTAATTTAATTAGTGAAATACGTTTTGGGGTGGTCTAAAAGTCTTTAAGAGGATACTCACAAAGGACGCAATTACTTCGTAGCCAATGTTAGCTATTAAACAAGTTACCATGTAAAATACACTAATAAACGCTATACAACCGCTAAACCTTCTAGGATTATAAACTCTGAATTAGAAATACTCCTTGTTTAATGTTCTCCTGTTACCCTGGTATTAGCAATGTCAATCAGTTTACAAAGTATTAGAAACTCTTCTAGTCAATAAAAAATTATCCTTAATTTAAGTGATAGTAAAGTTGGCCTTTTTTTTTTTTTTTTTTTTCCGTGCTTACTAAAAAGAATAATTATTTATTGCAAATATAAGACGGGTTTATCTAATTTTTCATATATTCTTTTATTGTGACTACGAAAAAAACTTTTCATCATTTTATATATTTTAAGAATTATTTGTCTTTGAAATCCTGAAAAAAAAACGAAAAGCAGCTGGCACCATTAACACGGAAATGCGATACTAAATCCCATGACACATGAGCCGCACTGACCACATGAGGCGCTGAATGGGTTATTTAGGTACATTTTTATCATCAGTACAATTCCGTTTGCCCTTCAATGATAATAGACTTGACGCCCTAATCTCATTCATAGAAATATTTTAGGCAGAATTTGGCAAAATTTCGCAATACACCTACCGCTATCTAGGATAGTAGGAAACTAACATGAGTTGCGCAAGTATATATATGTACGTAGCGGATGCAGTGCGTGGGGGCTTATCGCATCCGGCCACAACCGACGCGATGAGATCTCACTGCTATTGATTTTTTAATTAACTATATGGAGTTAACTAAGAGCTATTATAGGGTTAAACTGCTAACTTCGAGAAGGAAATATGTGAAGAAAAAAACCTATCGAAAACATTTTTCCCTGTGGTAACACATCACCTTTCCAAGCACACATTTCCAAGCATTTTTTTCGAATTCAACCAGTTGTTGGGTAAAACCGTTAGCCTGGTGAAGGAAGTAGGCGCAGAAAACCCCCGGTTATAACATTTTATCCTGTGGAAAACACGTCTCCTTGATAGCGAATACGTTGACCGGAGTGACACCACGGCCTCACAGGAAACCGGTGTTAAGTACTGATGGAATAAAATCACAATCACATCATTTATTATAATCATATCGATTATTATAAATGGAAAATGTTTAAAAAGTTTTCACTTCAAAAAAAACATTTTGTTTATCACATACCTACAAAGTTCAAATTCAGAAAATTCTGCAAACTTTAATAGATCATGTCGCTATCATGCTGTGATAGGTCATGCTCGGATCTTCATGGTTAACTAAAAGAGACCTATTACATATTGGCTTTGGGTGGAACTAGGTAAAACCTAAGTGAATCGGACGCTGACTCATAGGACATTAATATTCTACCACATTATATTGTCGCTATAGTTCCGATTACATTAGAAGGGGATTCCTGCTACTTTCAGTAGGTACTCTGTCACTGTTTTTTCAACAATGCGATAATTAGTGATGTGCTGCATTAGGTTCGTGTTTTCATTTAAATGTCACTCTAAATACACCCTGATAGCATAATATATACCTTTATTTTGTATAGTTCTTTAAAAGAGGTTCGACAAGACTCTACCGGTTTACTTAAAAATATCAGTTGGTTTGATTTTTCCGACGTCTTCCACATTTGCTATCATATTTCAGCAAATTTATTTAAAAGCTTAACAAATTAGACGTCTAAATCTTCTTCATATTTCGTTATAACTGCAAAACGTATTAAAATCCGTTTAGTGTTTTTGGAGTACAAGCAGACAAACACAGACGAACAGGTTGGAGATTAATATTCAGTAACATGTTATTATGTACACGTTACCAAGACCTGTAGCAGGTTTGTCACCTAAGGCTTTAATGTAGTGTGAATAAGTTTGAAAACGTTTGACACTAATGTAAAAACGTCACATTCTGCATGGTCATGATTTGATTAAAAAATTTTTTAGGTTAAATTTCTTAATTTCTTTTAAAATAAGTTTAAATATAATTCATTAGATAAATTCATCAGGCATCGTTCAGCAATGCGCAGTAAGTATCCACAGCCCTCCACCTCCCGCCCTACTAATATATCCTGACACAAAGTATTGTCCCATGTGGAGATCAAACCCACAACACTCAGCACAATAGAAAGCGGCGAGCTGACCGCTTCAAGCACTACGGCAACCTTGCAGTTTAATAAGTACATCATGAAATAATAGTTACTGACCTGTTAGCTTATTGGTTAGGACTTCTGAGCCGGACTAATTATAATATTAGGGTTAGGCCAAACCTAACTTCTAAGCTGGGTTAACTCACTGTGCATGGTTGCTTCGGTGCAATTCAGGTAGACTTGGATTGAACGCGAGAAGACAGCACAAAGCCAGTACTGCGCAGCCGACTGGCTCTTCGCTCAGCATACGCTGGAAGACTTCCGAATGGAGGTCCAGTCCGCATACTCCTAGCTCCTGTGACCCTAGGAATCGGAGATACGAAGGGATTTTCAACCCCGTCACCACAAAAAAGGGCTACGGCTAGAGGTTTTAAGCATATTAGTAATCATACTTAAGCTATAGAACCTTTTTGATACAAAACTCGCGCTGGCAGAAAATTTACCGAAATTCAAACGTCATTGTCGAAACATTAACCTTCGACCATCTTTTCACATAACCTGGGCTAAAAAGTTATAAATAAACTCAAAATTAATCGTATTTGATAAATTTTACGTATCCTTTATTGATGTTTACATATGTGTAAGTGAAGGTATTTAAAATGTGTGATAAAAATCGTGTAAGCTGCGACGTTTGTCGCACCATCAATCTAGCCAAACATGTAAAACAACCGAAACCTGAAATGCATATATATGACAAATGCACTCCAGTACAGAAATTTGTATGCCCTACTGTAACAGGTGCGTTTAATACCAACTCTTACTACCCCTTGTCATATTTATTAAAAATTAGCCTTTGCCCGCCGGTTCGCCCGCGTGTATGTCGGTTTTCGCGGTATAAGGCAACTATGTTACATACTTGTTGATAATTACCATTGGTGAAAGAATTTTCAAAATCGGTAAAAGCTATCAAACAAACAAACAAACAAACTCACTTTAACATTTATAATATAAGCATGGACATTCAAACATGAACTTATACGAGGGTAAATTATGATTGATATGGATTACCATTCTCGACTGGAGATTTAAAGGTGTAACCATATTTCAAGGAAAATACTATGTAAGTCTGCTGAATTCTCAAATGGAATTTGGGATTTTACGATGGTAAAAAATATATTTATGCCATAGGCCGAACGCTGTTGATGTTGTTGAGTTCTGGTTTACGCGGTTTCAACGTTTACTTTTAAAATTATTGTTCGACGAACAATAATTTTAAAAGTAAACGTTGAAACCGCGTAAACCAGAACTCAACTCAATGTAGTATCTTTATGAACGTTCGTACGTACATAAATTGATAGTATATATTTTGGTTTAAGTTGCCTATTAATTTTGTCATTTATCATCTAACTAACATTTTTGATTTCTGGGTATGTTTATCCAGAAATCAAAAATGTTGTCAATATTCAGATTGAATGAAGATTGAATATTGACAACATTTTTGATTTCTGGCTTAACATACCCAGAAATCAAAAATGTTAGTTAGATGATAAATGACAAAATTAATAGGCAACTTAAACCAAAATATATACTATCAATTTATGTACGTACGAACGTTCATAAAGATACTACATTTAGACTATCCAAGTCAGAAGTTAAGTATCCAATAATGTCTTTAAATGGTAGTAAATTAATAGTTAACTAAAACACAACAAAATTAATTTTCAAAAGTGCGAGTAGAATGCTTCGGTATAAATGCTCGACAACAATGATACCACGGCGTCACAGAAAACCGGTGTTAAGTAATTTTCGGTGTCACATTCTGAACAGTTACGTCTTTAAAAGCAAAATAAATAAATGGGCGCAGTATAAAAAGCAATGTACGAATTCTCAACAGTCTGCAAAAACAAACTTTTAAAGAAGATTTTTTTTTAATAGCCTCGTTTAAAAATACGTTCCTATAACTAAACATGGAGATCTCATTTTTACGTTCAGAAATGTGTATATCAGCAGTACATGTTCTGCACTATGTCTGTACGTCTAAACATCCTTCTGACCGGCCCTAAGTAGTTTTAAATAACAAACAGTTCTAAAATTATTCAGACTGCCAAAAATTTATTCGACACACATTTTTAGAATTTCCGTTACTACTCGCTTTTAGTACACATCGCACTAATAATTTTATACTTATTTATTGAAAATCTTTTTGCACACATACCTATTATTTATATATTATATTATTTTCTAACACCCAAAATGAGATCGCCATGAAGATTTATGGCCGTACACAGGAGGATGTACCTCCTTCACAGTATGCTTACTTTATCTTAAGTTAGTTAAGTGGTTTAAGCGGTCACCCCGCCGCTTGCTACTGCGCTGTGTTGTGGATTCGATTCAGTTTTTTTAAACTTTCATCATAGCCATTTTCTGTTTTAAACTAATCTTAAGTATTCAAAATATAAATTACCTGTCTCTGTCAAGTTAATAAAAATAAATTTAGATCATAATGACGTCCTCTAATTTCTAATGCCCCAGTACTCGAATCCTAACATTGTGTCGAAATGAGTCAGCGAGCGAGCGAGCTCCGCAAACGTCGAATCTTACGTGAATTCTATTTTAGTTTTGACAGATAACACGAACGACCAGTGTCAGTGACTTTGCCATACACAGTTCTAGTCATACAACATCAAACAGTCATTTGTAACCACACTCGATACAAATTGATAAATTGATTACACATTGTACATTGTTTATTATTTAATTAAAACTTTCAATTATTATTAACTGGCTTACAAAACTTTACTATCACTTAACCGTTACCATCAATAGGTTTACATTTCCCCCCAAGGTAGCGACGATAACATTTTCTTGCTTTTTTTAGCCTTAGCTTTTGTTTTGTATTTACTTTTTACTAATTTCAGAAAGCCGATCGTTTTTATTAGATAAATATAAAGCGCATGTGCCAAACATGAGCTTTATACTTACCTAATAAAAATTATCACCATAATTCAGGGACAAAAATAACAAAAGATAAAAGAACAAATATGTGTTTTAACAATAGAATACTATGCCGATCAAAAACTTATCCAATAAATTGTAAACTTTGGCAAACAGGGATACCGAAAAGAACACAGAGTATCGTCATCCAGGAAAATGTAACTTTTGTTTACCTTAAATAATTAGACAGACGAAGCCGCGGGCAAAAGCAAGAAGAAATATAAAACAATCGCAGTTTGTCAACACATTCAATAAAAAAAAAGAAATAATGTCCAATGTACTAGGAAGCTATAACGCGTACTAGACTTACAATTTGGTGAATCCACCACCTAAAAGCATTGTAGAGGAAAAGAGAGGTAACAACGCAATTAAAACCTTTCTGTCTCCCTTACGTGAATACAACGTTCATGTAATGGTGAATGCTCGACATTTCGCCAAACGGGTCTCTGTGCTTCCATGATGCCCTGGTAGTTATTACAAATTATGTAACATTTCTGCTCCAGTTACACGCGTATAAAGGACGCTCAATCTGGAGGTCGCAGTGTTGTGAAGCCAAAAATCTAAAACATTGATATGTACATTTTAAAAATATTATTATTTGGAAACGAGTTACTTTTTCAATTATGATATTTATATGTTCATATCTCCCTAAGCAAGTATGTTATTTAAAGTAGGTGTAAATTCTGTTTTTTTTTATCCAAAGTTTACACAAATCTTTAATATAAATTAATATTAAAATAACAAAAATAATCCAATCGATTACAGTAACAACACAATCATTTCTTTAAAAAAACGGATGGGTTATTACTATAACCTATATATATTTTTAAACACACTAAGGAAATATACAATATAGGGTACATTTTCTTAGTGAGTTTTTTAATACCTATTTAGATCTCAGTAATAAGTTTTATTACAGCTAAAACTTACTAATATCTACATTAAAAAATAACCAACTTTTCATTAATTGTACCAAACGTTTACAGAACTCCCACTGAAACCCACTTGCATAAAAATATGTACCAAAGAAGAATACAAGATAAGAAAAACAGGTCACAAACCTTTACAGTACAAACCGCCTTACTACGGCCATGGAAAATGCATGTACGCCGTCAAAGTTAGTTTTAGCCTTCAATTTACACGTAGCGACTAAAGATTTCAGAGGGCATGGAGTGTGAGGGCCAAGAGACTAAAACTCATCTGTAGCTACATTAGCTACTAAACAAAAGAAAAGTGTTGGACAACACAACATAGGAGTTTTGCTTTGCCTATTCACTATATGGATTTTCTTCTAGTAAAAGATAACCAGAAGTATTAAATATGTTCAGTATTCAATCTCGTAATATCTATTTTACCTAGCTGTTGAAATATATTAACTGTTTGTTTCAGTATCTAGGCGGTTCTATGAAGAACTTTATAATAAACCTCCTCACCACTTCATCGTCATTAGTACTGATTGTAACAGTTTAACATTCGTCTATCTCCTCAACAGGCTGGGATCCTAGCAGGTTCTATCTATTTCACGTACACACAAGGAATATGGGGTGATCAACGCGAAGTCACTGAATGCCTACGTCGTTGGTCGGAATACATCCGCAGTCTAAATACCAGACGTCCACCTACCTTTGACCATTGTGGAAACGTAATTGTGAGTTCAAATTGCAAGTTAAAATATACTCTAACACTATTACAGTAGGTTTTAAAATAATTGCTTTACATTCTAGATATTTAACCTCCTCCACGCTTATGTTATCCTAATAGAAATGGTTACGTCACCGCGTTTAATTCGGTTTTACTCCACGACATGCGACACCAAGTGGTTATTGATTTGTCTGTCTCTGTACCCCCTCATTTTTTTTTTTCCGTGCGTAAATCCCCTCGGATACCACCTGTCGGTGGCATGTCGGTCTGTACCCCCTCCTAATTTAAAATCAAAACAACGGAGTGTTTTGATTTTAAATCATTTGACAAAATGGTGTTTTCTCCTGGATACGTTGTGGTCTACCATTTTTAACATACATATATAATTGTACAAAGGTGGATATTTGTCCGCCCTATATTATTATAGGTATTCTACGGCAGTCTTCGCTTTGGTTTCAATTTCTAGATTTTATTATTGATGCGTTTATATTATATTGTGTTGTGTATATTATATGCGTTTAAGTAAATCCTTTTAGTAACATAAAGTTACTAACTCATCTACAGAAGGTTCTCTAAGTATTAAGTTAGTATTTATCAGTTCCAGAAAAGACAAATACATAATTGATTCGCGGTTTAATTAAAGCTATATAATGCCTATGCTTATCCACTGCTGGTGATGATGATGATGAATAGGTTATTCCTTTATCTACCACATAGTTCTTATTTTTCTACCATCAAAATATAACTTTGAAAACTATTTCAAACTTCACTAACTCTATCTCCTTAAAACATCTGCGATCCTAGTACCTGCGAGTCTATCTTTGAAGCGGCGCGTGCCTTTCGCATCGGAAACGACTCATTTTTGCAAAGCGTCCGCCCGCAATGAAAGCTATCCGCATATTGGACTGAGGCTGGCAAATAATTCGCGTGGCAAAAAAATAAAAATTAAATGTGTGTTCGTTTACTAACGTACATTGCTGTGTACCTGGTAGGTGTATGCTACGCTCCACAGACACTATGGCGCGGTAGTCACGCCCCGCGCATCCATTTTCTAGGTAAGGAAATTCCTTTGAAGCTCCTTTTCGCTATGACGTCCTGGTATTTTCACGTCACTTACATACGAGGGACGCCGTTCTTTGCATGATGGTTTGTCATAATTATCATTCATTCCTATCTTCCCTCTCTGTATCTATCTCTGTCTCTAGGTGCTCTAAACTGAATTATACGAGAATGTGGATTATTTTAAGTATTCATAAAACATTACGTACAGCTAGATTTTACATGGTAAAGATTGATAAATCAATCAGAGTGGTTTCTTTTTTTTTAATTTAGGAATATATACTGTATCACGGGACTTTGCAAATATACATGAAACGGGCACAAAGAACACCCAAACTCAGAACAACATTTGGGTCATACAAAGTGTTGTCCCGTATGGGGATCGAACTGGGTACTACAGTAGGAAGCGGCTAGGTGACGGCCTAAACCACTTCGACATCCAAGCAGTAGCATTTCGCACAGAAAAGATTATTGAAAATAAGTGATTTAACATTTAAGCTCTTAGTAACACTTTACGCCCATGCTGTGTTGACATCCAAATAAGTTATTTGGATGTCAACACAGCATTCTTTGAAATAAGTTAAAAAATGAATATTCTAAATTTATACACAAAAGAAATGTCTAGACATAGCTTTAGAATGTACGAAATCGAAATTAACACGTAAACTAAGAAAACTGAATATTTTAAAATTATCTTTCTAAATAAATAAAAAATATCTAAATGAATATGTATTGTAATTAACTGTATTATTATTTCCTTAACTTTCATCGTTATGGGGTGGAATGACTATAAGAAGTATATTTACCCAAATAAACCAAGAATTAACCAAAGTAGGTTCATAAATAACGGAATTCTGAGGTATCAAACACAAAGAAAACTTCTGAAGTCGTTAATTTATAAACCACGTGACGGAAATACATGGAACTTCTTCCATGTATACATACTTTAAAAACTAGCCAGTCAATCAATCATCAACCTACTGCCGTCCACTGCTGAACGAAGGCTTTCCCCAAGGAGCGCCAACGGAACCATCTTGGGCAATCCATTTAAGTTAGTACAATATAATATTTTTTTCAGCGAATTCCTTTGCCTGAACATTGTGACGTGTAACAGTAAAATATTTGCATGAAATATCTAATTATAATAAAATATATTTTAGTCAAACTATGTATTTTGTTTTTGCGTTTATGATTGCTAAAACGAGTTGTTATTTTATATCATGGATGGAGAAAATAATCAACGCTTACGCAACATTTTACTACGAAAATAACTTTTATGACAGTTGTGAGATCGAAAGTTGATTGGAACTGAATTGAGACCGAACTTTTATTACGAGAATTGGCCTTCTGGTCACAGATCGATAGGCCAAACTCAAATTATAGACGCCGCACATAGTGTCACACAATGTTACTCATCTGTGTTCCTAGTACAGATACGTCGATCGACTCAGGGTGTATGGCGATCAATTTTATCATTTTTTCAAACGTGTAACATACTATAATATAGCCCGGAAGCGACATCCTCTGCGCTGATAAATGCCTGGTGTAAATGGGGTCATATCACTGACAATGTTACGTTTACAAGGATGAATTTGTAACAGCGCGCCGTGTAAAACTGGTATACTGGTAGCTGAATTGTAGTTAGTCATTTTATATAATACATTATTATTATGTTATCAAATCATCCGTTCGTCGGCTTGTAAAAAAATTTTTTTATACAAAATTTATGGCAATTAATATAGATACTGAGAAATAATCCTTACCAAAAACTTCTTTTGTTTTTTTTTTAAATTTAACTAAAGATCACTCTCTTTATTCATACCTAGTATATACATACCAAAATATCTAGTTTATATAAACGTAACCTAACTTGTACGACCCAATATTCCAAAACCTTATCTGTTTTTTTTCCTAACATATCCTAAAATAACAGAATAAAAAATGGTACATTTGTCAAAAAAACCAAAAGTAGACAGGGCCTCTATTTTAAAATAATACGGTGTGTAATAAACCAGTTTCAAAGCGCCCTTTTAACAACTTACACTGGGCCCTCTGTAAAAGCGCCCTTTTAACGTCTAGTATAAAATTTTCTCAATGTCAGAAAATTTGGTACTAGACGTTAAAAGGGCGCTTTCAGAGGGCCTAGTGTAAGTTTGTTTAACATCAACTCGCTCTCGACAGTGAGCGCTTTTGGCGTTGTGATAGGTGAAAATTTTAGCGCGGGCCAATCGCAACGCCGAATAGGTTCACCATGACGAGCGAGTAGAAGTGAATGAAAATTAGACTAGGCACTCAGATCTTCACTTCTTAACCATAAAGTAATTTAAAAGCAAGTTTTTATATTCTTTACATGATTGTTGTGCCACTTTAATTATCACCATTGAATCTGACACAATAATACCGAGTGATGTACTTAAACAACGCTGCTGGAGGAAATGGCCCACTTCTATTAATAATAAAATCTGTGGTTTTCAGAAAAAAGACAGCGTCGACAGCTTGTTAGCTCCTGTGTACAACCTCTATAAAAGCTTTGTCACTACTTGTTTTTCGGGTGAGTGATAGAACTACTGTTTTCTATCTGAGTAGGTTAAATTTTGCCTGCAAGGTTTTCTTTCGTGTTAACCTCTTGCTTCTAAAACTTACTTTCTTGATCTTTAACTAAAAGGTGCTCAAATCATCGCTAAATCCAAAACGAGAGTCCACACTTGATCGGATATATGTATATGTTTTTCTTCAAAAGAGCATTCATTTAGTTTTGTACATTCAAAAAAATATATAAAGCACTAGTCTTCAAGCGACTTGTATTACCACCACAAAACAGTTTGCCGCTACATAATTCTAAAGAAAATCATACGTTAATAGATTTTCTTTTCAGGTGTCGTAAAGGTGCCGTTGCTGATCAAGTGTGCCTACCTAGAATACCTCAAGGAGTTAGAGAGGAAGCACGCCGACGCAGTCAAAGAAAGGCAAATCAGGAAGAGGGCATAAAGATTTATACAAACATTATATCCGACCCTCATCCGAGAACACGAGTTTTACAGATCGTTCTTACAAGGCAAACAGTATGTAGGTGAACCTTTGTGGACAAAACCTGCATAATATATCAGCTATTAGAGTGGCTGTGAAGTGTGTAGGTACTCAGTGCTTTAGAAAACGTTAATGATAAACCTGCGTATTGTTTTGAATTAGCATTCGATGGAACAAATCGAATTCGTCTAAAAGTATGAGGTTAACTTAATTCACGTTACGAATGCTCTTAGTACGGCGCCGGAAAATTGTGTTGAAAAAAAGCTAACTAAGCTATTGAGGAAAACCCCTTGATCTGCTGCGATAAGCTGAGATAACGACAACTGAACCAATCATAGAATTCAACTTGCGTGTGTCCGGTACTGCAAACTGTGTGATAATTGATCTACAGATCTGGTGTCCGGTGTGTGAGGGCTGGTATATTGTATATACTAATGTCTACGTTATTGATTTGTTATCGTTGGTATTCAGTTCCCTCGGATCTGTCTTCAAAGTTTGTTGCAAACTATCACGTGAAGGTGTGTCAAAACCGACTCTTATTCTAATTTATATCAGGATGAAAATATTTATGCCTAATTTAGTTTTACGTAGGTATGTCTCGGTAAATTGATAGTGGTAATTATTTCATACAAAGTGCACTTGTTCAGTCAAAGTGTGTTAATGTTTCGCAAAATATAGTGACCCATTACAAAAATGTTGCATATTATGGTAAGCATATATGAAATTAAATATATTGTTTTTTATAATCATTTTATTGATGTCAAAAAATAAAAATATTTCAATTTAACCATATTGCACTCTTTTTTTTTTATCAACGATGATGTAAACTAGTCCACTACAATATAAAATATGAATATATTTTATGACACACATTGAAATGTAAGTATCTTATTAATTTTTATTGGCATAATCAATATCTCTGCTGCCGACGTCTCATCTCAGAGGCGTGAAGATCTAAAAAGGCGGGATTGTCGTCAGGCGAGCCTCCAGACAACATGTACTCCAAATGTCGGATGTAGCATATCGCTATTCTGAAATAAAAGATTATAATCAAATCAAATCAAATTAATTTTTGCAGAAAACACTGTTACAATGGTTTTATAAATACATAGTTATGTTTCAAGTGCTTCTACCTTAAGGCATGCAAAATATATACAATTATTACTTACTAAAATCAAAATCGACATCGAAGTATTTAAATCAAATTAGATTACAGCATTTAAGTATTAAAAATGAATGTAATGTCCTTATTAAAATTACAATGATAAATATTAGTTATTTATTTAATAATAATTAGATTAGTTCTATGTCACTCACTGAATTATTATGTATTAACAAATTAATTACATTCAAAAGACACACAAAAGGTCTCAGGATTGGAAAGATCATCGTTCAGATAGTCATTCAACTTATAATAACACTTATTAACTAAAAGGGTCTTTAAATGTTTCTTAAATAAAGTAGTATTCATTGCCCTTATTTCTTTAGGTAATTTATTGAAAATTACCGGAGCCATATGAAACACACTTTTGTGCATTAAAGTGGTATAGGTTCGGCGCATACAGAGGCGAAATTGGTCACGTTGTCGCCTATTATAGACTTCTGAGGCTAATGTAAATAACTTTTGATTTACCTTAACAAATATTGAGACCTCATAAATATACAGGCTTGGGAGAGTTAGAATTTTGTACTCTTTGAGGAATGGTTTACAGGTTTCGATTATTTGAAGCCCAAACATAGCCCTTATGCACCGTTTTTGTGCCTTAAAAATTAAATCAATGTCTGTCGAATTTCCCCAAAAAACCACACCATACCTCAGGACTGCAGCAACTAGACCATGATATGCAGTTAACAAGTATGCAGTTAACACTTGAAATTTGTTTTAATTCATGTAGCGCGTACACTGATTTATTAATTTTTTTGCACAGTTCTTCAATCTGTGGTTTCCATTTCAATTTATTATCCAAAGTCAGGCCAAGAAATTTTGTGGTTTGCACTTCAAAAATAGGTTCACCCCTATAATTAATCTGAGGCATAATTGCATTCACACGCTGATTAAAATGGATAATTTTAGTCTTTCCTATGTTTACTTTCAGATTATTAACGTCCAGCCATTTGATGATTTCATTAAGGGTACTGCTTATATCATGCTCATACGATGTTCTGTCATTGCACCTAATTGCAACGGTGCTGTCGTCAGCAAAGAGTGTCATTGGGTTTGAATTCGCATTTGGAAGGGCATTAATGTATATTATAAAAAGTAATGGACCCATTACACTTCCTTGCGGGACGCCATATTGTATTTTACGTCCGTTTGATAAGTATGTATCCTCCATCTTAGTTCTAATATTAACTCTGTTAATTACTGTGTATTGAGAGCGGTTCCTGAGGTAACATACTTAATGAAAACTTATACATACGGCAAATTGTGACTTTGTGTCATTTAAGTTACTCGTAGCTATAAATATTTTAAATTGTTTTCGTTAAATGCTTCTCTAACTAATTAGATGTCTTATTTTTTTTTGTTTCAAAACAACTCCCGCACTAGGAATAAATCCTGTGTCGCGGGGACTTTACAAACATACATGAAACGGACACAAAGAACACCCAGACTCAGAACAACAATTTGTGGATCACACAAAGTGTCACCCCATGTGGGGATCGGACCCACAACACTCGGCGTAGTAGTAAGCGGCGTGGCGACCGCTTAAACCAGTACGCCATCTGTGCAGTCATGCTTGCAACACCTGTCTGATTGTTGTTAGCGCGTTTTTCTGTTATATGTTCTGAATCAGCTTATAAAAAAATTCTGTGGTGTAGATTATCTTTGCAACCACACTTCAGACCAAAAAGATTCAATCTTCTCGTACTCAATCTATATTATAAATGTGAAAGCGTGTCTGTCTGTCTGTCTGTATATTTATCTGTCTGTCTGTTACCTGTTCATACCTAAACCTCTCAACGGATTTAAATCAAAATTGGTATTGAGACAGTTTTAGTTTCGGGAAAGGACATGGGATAGTTTTTATCCCAGAAATCATCCTTTACCCCTTAAAGAGAAGAGAAAGGAAATCATCCTTTAAGGGGGCGAAAGTTTGTAAGGGGAATCAATAACTGCTGAACCGATTTAGATGAAATTTGGTATTGAGATAGTTTGATTCTTGAAGAAGGACATAGATTACTTACCGATATACACGCGGGTGTATAGTATGAAAATCGCTATATTGAGTAGTAACTCATATATATATGTATGGTTTACGTTATATTTCTTACTAAAGATCGCACAATGTACGATGAAATGAGTGGAATTCAACTTTATGATGTTGTGTGTGTGATGTGATGATGAGATCATAACCTGAGACATTCAATCTTGGAGTACTTTTTTTTGGAAGGCTTAGTAACTGGAAGTTTGGAGCGCAGGAGATCAAAAGCTCGATTCATATCACGCATGCGTGTTCTTTCTCTGTCGCAAGCTGTCTTTTTATATTCTGAAAACACATTAAAAATGTATTAAGACTAGTTTCATTAAGCGACTTGGTATACTCGCTCCATCTATACGGTTGACGATCTCGACTGATGTAAGGACTAACGAAGCGCCAATTTTCATTCTCTCCCCAAAAGTACCTACTTTGCACAAATATCATTAATAAGATGATAATATGAATCTCTTGTATTGTTAATTCGAATTCTGGTAACCCTTCTTACCCGTAGGAATACATACACTCACTAGAATATTAGCAATGCTGTATTATGCGAAATTCTATAGGTGTGTTCAAGGTACAGGTTTTTATTTTTAAAATAACGCCCGCACTTTTAATATTTCCTGTGTCGCGGGGGACCTTACAGACATACATGAAACGGACACCCAGACTCAGAACAACAATTTGTGTATCACACAAAGTGTTATCCCATGTGGGGATCGAACTCACGAAACTAAGCGTGACCTCTTAAACCACTACGCCTTCCTTTCAGTCGAAAATACATCGTTTTCTACTTCTGTAAAAGAATAATGAGTAAACCGTTGACATATCGCCTAACACAACAAACTTAGCTTAGTTTTAGGGCCACATTAAATAATAAGAGTTTTAAGAATTACCTTTTTCAAGTAGTAGCGCTTTTTCTTTCCAGTTTAGAATATTTGCATCTTGATTGGGATCCTCCATGCCATACTTGATGGTATCCTGAGATTCATGTGAATAATCCAGAGATGACTCAGAGTTAGCGGTTTCTGGTATAGACGCTTCTCTGTAGTCTTGCTCGTAGTACATCGGACCTGACATATTGGTAATCTTTGAGCAACGTATTCATTGTAGGGCATCCTAACATCAACTCACAGTTCACGGCGTTTCTTACTGTTAAGGGACAGCCGATTGCTAATATAATATTTGGTTGTAATTACGCGTCTGTTCAACATAATTTACCTACCTATATCTCTGTAACTATGAATCTATGTAGAACGTAATAAATTACTACAAACACTAATTTCTGTAGTAGATTTAATAACGAGGCTATGACGAGAATCATGTTAATAATGATGTGCATCTGGTTTTGGTCTTATCTTTGGTTTAAACCTATTATTCTGGTAACGTGAGTTTAAATGAGGTATCGGAAAGTCTTATAGAAGTTATAACCAAGCAATGAAAGAACTCTTGAATTACTTTCTTTATTAACTAACAACTGTAACTGAACAATTTTAAATGTTTAAATAATTGTTCTGATCATTGAAGATCAAATCAAAGCCCACTCACTGCTTTTTCATACAACGCCTTACAACTAAAAGTTGAGCTACACAAATGTAGATGGTGCTCGTCCCATTATATAAGTACTCTTGGTATAGATCTAATTACTAAAGGGAGGGACTGACTTACACTTTAGTTAATCAGTCCCAGATTCGTTCTTTTTGTTGACCGCTGACGTTCTAAAATCACAACGGCACGCAAATTTAGCGAGGTTTGCTTTATTCCAACTTTAATACTAAGTATTTGGTCAGAACCAAAACATTTTGACTAAAAGACATCATCAGTATATCTTGAGTATCCTGGTAGTATAAATTCCCTTAATCTAGTCCACACGATGCAAACAGATGGCGCAGTTAAAGAACAATTCCTTATTTAAATTCCTTCTATGTTGAAAAGCCAAGTATTTTGTGTTAATGGGTAGATATCATTACATACGTCCTGTGTATTACAAGGTATAACTTTTTTGTTGTTTCAAACTCTACTATCAATAGTCTTACCTTCAGAGGTATTATGATCCAATTCATGAGGCCTGAAATAAGAAATCCTTCTAGGTTCGTAGTCTTCTAACACATAAGACCTGTGATGAGCTATAGTTTTATCATACTTCTTGTGAGAGAAAGTAAGTTCTTCTCTTGGTTTCTCGTCTTGTCGTCCAATCTCTAAAATGACACGGTCTTCAGGATCCCTCTTTTCTTCTTCATCTTCTTTAACCATAGTATAGTTTGCTATGAGAGGCAATGGAGCTTCATCTTCATACGTATGATGATACATCTTGACGTAGTGTTAAAAATTCTGTATGCTTTTGTTAGATATTAGTCATCTGTTGTAAAGGCCGTGAAATTTCAAAAGCAGCAAAATGGCAACGTGTCAATTGAATGAATATACCATGATTCATACCTTTTATTTTTTAATATTTATTAGGTGTATGTTATTTATTGCTAAGAACCATATGGTGGAATATACAGTTTTTTAAAAGAACTGCGGAATAGTAAATGGTTGTGAACATTACAATAATTCTGCACTTTTAGATTAGAACACTTTCGAAAATTGTTGAATTTTCGCACACTGCAGACCGTCTCTACAAATTTCAATCAAAAATATATCTTAAGAATTCTTTCGAGGATAGGCAGGTACATCCGACCTCAACCTATCCGAGCCGAGGACTGTGTCACCCACAATTCTGTTCTATTGTAATGCATATTCGATAAAACTGGCGTTGTGTGCACAAGTGTGTTGTACAATTTTTAAAGGTTTCAGAAGAGGACCGCCATTGTCTCACGTGCTATTGTTGCCTGTTTGTTTTGTACAGCACCTCCGACACTCCGAGGACTCCCATGATGATCTATAGTATTCTTTTTTTATGTAAATCTGTTTGTAACTTTCATTGTTACTGTTATACTACTACCTATACATTTTTTTTAAACTGATTCGCTTTCCAATAATTTAAATAATTAAAGGCGCAACACATCTAGTGAAAATTATCACTCCCATATTCACTCATTATTTATTAAATAAAGACTACATCACCAGACTTTAATATTCCATTACTGGATATAGGCCTCTCTTTAGAAAGGAAGTACAGTTATATTAAATGTTTTACTATTTACATCACACTTATTAGATACGCTATTTCATAATATGCTATCGTTACACCAAAACAAGAGCGCAAGAAAAAGGTCCCCAAGTCATGTTTGGAAAATGTTCCTAAAAACACCGGATATATATAATTCTTACTATGACAGACTATCTTGAAAATCTATTACCGGTCAACTTTATTAACATCCGTAATTTCAGCTGGATACGGCTCCCTAGATGACTTCCAAAAAGAAGTCGGTTGGAAGTCCGCCGACCTTTTCAGTTGCTTTTAATTCAAGCCAAAAATATCCTCGTATTATTATAATAATTCTTATTTGTCATTTAAGTTCCAAACTCCTTTTATTGCTTTTAAAACTAGAAACTTTTAGCGTTAAATACTTTCTATGCATTTTTAGGGACTAAGTATTAGGTTAAATTATGATGTGTTATGATATTTAGCAATATAACCACACATTGTACCTACTAAGTTAATAGCAAAACTATTTGAACAGATGCCAATTCGAAATCGCCAAACAAATAGGTAGGTACAATACTTACGAGCATTAGTACTCGCACGTAGGGGATAGTGTGACGGCCTGATCGTATCAAGACGCAATTGGGTTGCCCCGTAGTATTAAACCGCTTGCAGATTCATCTAGGATAGGGCCAGGTTAAGCGCGACGTCGATTCGGGGGAGGGTCTGAAAAAACATGGTCCGGGTCCTCCCCAGGGTAGGACACCTGAGGCAGGTCGTCGGAGTGGTTTTCAATGGAAACACCATGTGGTGTTCCACGCAAGAGCCATGCTCATAGCTCTTGCGTCCCCAAGGAGCCTAGGAGATCCAAAGGGATTTCCCATCCCGTACCATTATAAAATACGCACTTATTAAAAGACTTGATACGGTTACTGTTTTCCGAAGTTCATATAAAAGATAATAAAACTAAAGTTGCGAAATTTTCAACGTGTTTATTGTAATTTAGCAAATGATAAATAAATATTTTGATCCTGTAACGCACAGCCATAATGTTATTATGTCTATTACACGCAATTGATACATCAGTCAGATTTTTGGTGCATCGTATCATATAATTTTAAGTGTGTGAAACCTGAAGGTTAATTCTCGTAATAAAAGTTCGGTCAAAATTCAGTTCCGCTCAACTCTCGATCTCACAACTGTCTAAAAAGGTATTTTTGTAGTAAAGTATTAAACATCCAACGTTGATTGTAATGTGATTATATCGTATGTAACCGAAAATTGAATCGGTAGTCTGCTAATCTTACGATTTCACTACGAAAACGACTTTTTTGACAATGGTGAGATCAAGAGTTGATCGGAACTGAATTTTGACCGAACTTTTATTACGAGAATTGACCTTCAGGTAGCGATAAGCTAGGTCGTTACGTCTTGATTGAAAGCCCCTTTCGGGTCCAAAACCAGCCAGACATCCCCGAAATATGAACATGAGTACAACCGAATGACTTACAGGCTTAAGTGGGAGTTTATTTCACATGAACTCATTCATTCATTATATATATACCTCAGCCTATGCTTGTCCACTGCTGGACATAGGCCTCTCCCAATGATTTCATTCATTGGTTATTATTTATTCGCAACGCCGAACGCGATCACCGTGATGATCGAGTTGATGTGAAATAAGCTCACACTAGGCCCTCTGAAACAAAATTTGCTTTTGGTGGTTGAATTATAAAATAAGTTGAAGCACTGATATTACAGTTTAATATAAGATACGTTAAATATCAAAGATTTATTTTTAATCTTAGTTATTTGCGTAGATTTAGTTAGATAAATAAAAAACAGTAACTTAAAAATTCTCATCACATTTTTTTTCTGCTCAAAGTATAACTACTATTATCCTTATTTTAACACCTTAAAGGTATACACATACACTGACTATGTCAGTGTTCCGCCATGTACTTATTTTAGTGAAAATGTTTGAATATATTTAATATAACTTAAGACTAAAGTCATCTTAACGAGGCAATTAATAAATAAGGACAAATTAAATGCCTTTGTAATTTGTTACGATACAGTCATTGTAGTGATAAGAGAAAATTAGATAAAATATAAGTAATTTATGGTAAATGAGTTTAATAGTCTATCAGCCGTGTATGAACCTTTTTAAAAAGCTACATTTGTATACTACATTTACGAAACCAACGCAAGAACTTTTTCTAAGCTATAGGGGGCAAACTAGTAGACGGAGTCAACTGAGTGAGAACTGTGTAATTGACTACCGACGTACAGGGGCAAGTGTTTCACTCAAGTCACAATAGCGTTGGCGAGTTCAGAGTGCTCCACCTCCCAAGAAGAGGGCATTCCACAATTTGAGGTTTCTCATGGTAAGCGAACTCTCTGGCCGAGTAGATATGGACTTCACCTCCTACTGCGCTGAGTGTTGTGGGTTAGATGGGAACAAACTTTGTGTGATCCCCAAATTGTAGTTCTGAGTCTGGGTGTTCTTTATGTCCGTTTCATGTATGTTTGTAAGTTGTTGTGTCATGTAAGTCCCCCGAGATATAGGAATAAATTCCTAATGCGGGAGTTGTCTTTTTAAAAAAGTAACAAAAATGATGTCGATATATCCATATGTGACACACTGAAAAACAAGTACCCAAATTATTTATATTTAAAAAAGATATAACAATTTAATGACCCGAAACGAATCGTGACATCTTCGAACCGGTAAAAATCTTCAGAATTCCGTGGACTACTCGAGAATCTCAAGAATAGTTGAAATATAGATTATGGGATACATTAACAGTAAAAAAAGGTTTATACAAGGTCTGTAACTACTACGGAAAGTACTTCCGTGTGATATTCTTTCACAATTCTGTCTGTCTGTCTGGAGAACTTTTTTCTTATTATTGGTTATGTGTTATATTAAATGACAGACTGAAAATATTATGAAATAATCATAATGTTTAGAGTCTATCATTTACTTTTATTATGATTATTTACGCATTTCAGGTTCAAAAAATCTCTGAGTTTTTAGATTGTTTGCGATTGCTCTCAATTGTGCTAAATAAAAAATAAAAACTTAAATTAAAAAAGGCCTTTGAAGACGGCCTTAATTGAGGTGAACTAGTGTTAAAGTTTGATTGGTCTGATCTTGAAGAACTCTTGCGCGACCTCATCCGTGACTGCCGAACGCCGCTTCTGGTAATCTTGGACGTAATGTGTTATTGTGTCTATAGCTATTTTCTTAAGTTCGCCTGTTAGCATTTCACCTGATTCGTACTGTTTCTTTATCTGTAAATAAAAAGAAATATCTTGGAAAAATTGGAAAATACTAATAAATGCGGTGGAAGATAGTGGAAATAAATACCAGTAATTAATTAATAACCAACTTAATTACCCACGTTTTACAAACTGAGTCTTAAATACAGTGCTTTTGCTGTGCAAGTCTCATTCTAAATTGGTAGACTATACCACAATTGGTCAGTGAACTCTGCTGAGTTTTGTCCTTATTCATATCTTTGCTGAGTTTATTCATCTTTGTCAAAGATGAATGACAAAGATAAATAACTAAGGACAAAACTCAGCAAAGTTTACTGACGGGGAATGTAAATTTGACTTCTTAGGTATATGTTTAATTATATAACTAGGATAGTACTTACTTCTGCCAACCGATCGTCGTCTTCCAAGAAGAACGTGAGATACTTAAAAGAAATATCTACAGTAGTATTACCACCTTTAAGCCTGTGTTCTTCTACAGTTGGCTGGCCGCCGGAGAATGCGTATTTGTTGATCTGGAAAACAAATACTTGTTCTGGTTATAACTATATAACAGATATAATGTGAGGCTTAAAAGAAAATGAAAAGATTTCAGTATATTTTTACAAGAGCCTTTACAATTAAATTCAAAGTTATTTTTACATGCAATTTTGGGTCCTAAGTTGGAATCGAATTTTCGACCACTGGCTCGACAGTACCATTAGATCAACAAGGTTTTTGCAACTTTTAAATAGTTTAACCACTCTATTGTGACATAATTCTGTTATTACATACACAAGTTTAACCTATAATTTTTTAAGAACAAGTTATTTAAGAAAGTGATAAAAGTTTACCTTATTTTTGATCTGCTTAGGCCCATCATTTAAAAATATAGAAGTGTTAGCATCACTGGCGGACATTTTGTGCTGAGCTCCCTGCAGTGCTGGCAGGAACGTGGCGTGGATGAGCGCCGGTTTAGGCATCTTGAGCCGAGCGGCCACGTCACGCGTCATCCTGAAGTAAGGGTCCTGGTCGATAGCGCACGGCACTAGGCACGGAAGCTGGAAATTGAGTTGAATCTTAAGGAATACAAAACGAGATGAATATTTTGTAGGAAAGAACGTTCATTTTTCACGAAATTAGTACCACATGTTACGGGAAAGCGAGACATTTTACATCTTCTAATAGCCACTTATAATACAAACTGTGCTTAACTGGGATAGATCTAATTTTATTAAGCAATATAGTGCTGTGGAAATTTGACACACCCGCACCCGTGTCTCTTAAGTTATATGTCGCCTTACATATAAATACACCGTCGCCTATAGACTTAGGCGACGGTAGCCACTGACCAAATAGGTGACCCGTTTGTTCGTTAGCCCCCAAAACCATAAAAAAAAGATGCTACAGCGTCGGTTACATGCACCAAACTATATATACATATATCCTTAATTAATACAAATCTATTCACGAGTTTTTATTCAAAAGGTGGGCCCATCCGCACAGCGATATTTCACCGCACGTTTTTTTTTTTTTTGCAAAATTCTGTCACACATGAGATCTATATAGGACTATCCGCACTGGCGAAAGAAAAAATCTGTGATTTGCTGCAAATTGAACTCGATACAATGTAGATTTATTTCCGCGCGAATAAAAACCTCGCGGTGGAATATCGCTGTGCAGACGGGCCCACCTTTTTCAGACATTTTTTTTTATATTTTTATTTATTAATTCAACTTCGCGAGTTTAATGCCTGGCTAAATATCAGATTATGACTGTATTAACAAAACAGAAAAGGAACAGCAAAAAGTTACAGTATACCTATCATAAGGAAGAACAGTTTACAACTGAATATAACTTACAATTTTATTATCAAATATAAAAGGAAAGCTGGTAGCAAAAGCTGGCGCAGCTTCAATAGTTGGGAAGGTGAGCTTGCCGACGATGTCTGAGTCGCCAAAGCCGAAGATACCCTTAACTTGGTTGTAAGTCACACATTTTTGTATCCGGACCATGTTCTGGTAGAATGCTGGACACTGCCTGAGGTAAGAGGATTAGAGTTATTGAGCGATAGACGACTTTGAAAGTATATTATACAGCACAATTCTGCTCGAATTAGATCCACCTCGGCATCGGTACAAACGGGCCGGCTCGACCCGTTTGTACCGATCGAGTGTTAGGTTTTTTGTTTTTTTTGTTGCTTTTCAACGGGTAAGTGAGGCTCCTGAAGTCCAAATTCCACTCTCCTCATTACATAACATCAACAGATACAAAACAAACATCGCTTATGCTTTAAAAACTTTTTTTTAACTCAAAGGTAAAACAATAAATAAAAAAATCCCACACTGGTAGAATATTAATGCAATTTTTTTTATTTGGCATTTAATTGCGTCGTAGTAAATCACTAAGTGCAGACTTTGTCTGTGTACGTATATCTTTCGTAATTATCCAGAAACAAATCATCGTAGAACAGGCCTTAATGTTCAGTGTTCTTTTTTATCAATATTCGAGATCTTGATATGCAGTAGACACAACAGTGTGTATATCCAAAAAAAAACCCTGTGACCACTGGTAAACTCACTGCTTGTTTAACAAGGCGATCCCATTATGATACATAGAGAGTTAAAACGTATTACTATCGTAGGACTTTATCAATTTTGAACTTACCCAATAAAATCCAAATCATTAAATATGAAAGTATTCTCTGGGCTGAATCCCACAGCTATTATATCTTTGGCATTGTCGCGGGCCATCTTACGTGCATCATCAATTTTTATATCTCTCCAAAGAACCTTTTCATCATCAGTAAGTTGAATTATCAATGGTACTTCAAATACCTCCTGAAGCCATCTGAGAATTTTCAAAATTCATTCATGGTAATTCCATCACGGCAAAATAACAAATTTACATATAGTTTTACTAAAAATGTGTGTTAAGTTTTAGCTGTTTTGTTTTACATCTTTGACATGTATAACTTTTTTTATCCATGAAAAACTTTCCATCAACAACATTTACTCTAATTTCATGTACTTTTTGAAAAATATAATATATAAATTCATTAGAAATATTTTCTACATTCAAAATTTAAGAATTTTAAATTTTATATTTCTAAATAAAAAGTTTAAGAAGGAATATAAAGAAAAATACGGCAAGAGGTTAATATTTAAAAAGTTATGATTTTAATGATAACTAGAAGTGTATGTAATGTTCAAATAACGACAAAAGACTCCAGAAATATATATATATATATACTCCTTAGGTTAACTACTTTCAAGTGAGAATAAAAAGGTTTAATTTATATTCTACTTACTTTGTAAACATGAATGGTATCATATGTCCTATGTGCATACTCTCTGAAGAAGGTCCTCTGCCCGTGTACAAATAAAACTTCTTGCCAGATTCATACAGATTTAAAAGAATGTGGATATCACGATGAGAAAAGAATATTCCACGTTTGAGGAAATGGTGGGCTGAAAAACATTTTATATAGTCTCACATGTGGCTATCAGGCAATCATATTTCTACTATTTGTGTTTGATCTACAGAAAAGTCACCATAATGGAACTAGGGGCTATCTATTTATCTATACAAATGAAATTACTTGCCTAGACTGACTGACTGACTGATTCATAACACAGAATCTGAACCTGTAGCTAAAAGGAGTTTTGGGGTAAAATAAGGGATGAACAGTTGTATGGCAGTTTGTCAATTTCAAAGTTAGAAACACAAAATGACGAGAGCATAGCACAGACTCTAACTAGCATGTCATAAAAACAAGAAAGTCAAAAAATCTTTTAGCTACATTAGGCCTTTAAACAAGTCAGTAAGGTATTAAATAATTTGAAAATAAAATGTGTGTTCAAATTATTGTTTGTATTTAATTTATTAATTTCTGTGTAAAATTGCAATACCACAAATGTGGCAGGTAAATTATGAATTCTGATGAAATAAAAGTGGCCTATTACATAAGTATTTTATTTTAAGTAGTTTTTAGAATGTATAAATATGCTATTCATATTGCTAGTGTAGTCAGATTTGATTCAGTGGTAATGACTAACAGGTCTGTTTGCACTAATTAGGATTAACATATCACAATCTGAAAAATATATATAATTTAATTATTACTACATCTCCCATACATCTATCTAATCCCTAACTACGCGAAGCCTATACTACTACTACTCTGTTACAGATAAATTAGAACAATCAAGCCCACAACCTATGGCTCAGCAGTCGTTTTTGTTAAATTTATTTGGTTACTATTTGACAAAACAGAGATTGTTGCTTTTGTGTGTGTCTATGTAATCTATGACTTTAGAGTCTACATAAAAGACGATTTCAAACAATTTTGGAAATTTTATGAAATAAAGAAAGTTCGAGTTTGAGTTTGAGGGTCACTAACCACTAGACCAAGAAACTAGTCATAAATAACACTATCAATGTCATTTTTACAAAAATATATCTATACCTTTCTTTCCAGTAACTTTCTCAAATCTCTGTATAACTTCATCATCTATTTTTTGACTGCCGAATTTCTCTGTAATGACACAAGGGAAAACCAAAATTTTTATAAAGAAAAGAGTAAATAGTGATAAGATTAAGACAATAGAAATACACTCACTTATTAACTTGTCATAATCAATACCAGTCTCAGATTTGCCTGTAACGGTCCATGGGTCAACGATATCATCATCCTCGTTTACAGATACCTGGCTTAATTGCTCTGCCTGTTCTTCAGTCATTTTGTGATCTAAATCATGGAAAAATTTTTAAATGTTAAATAGCAAGTTGACATCGTATAATAACTTAAAGCATAGTTGTAGTGAATGAAAGAAAGTAAATCAGTGCTGTAACGAGACTCAACTACAATAGTTACAGGTAAATACTTGGAAAATATGGAACACACGGTGTAAACGCAAATTCAGCGTTAATAAAGGTTATGCTACATGTACTATCACTATTTACCTGTTTAGTATATAAGAAAGTAATGCGTAACCTTTCAGTTAGATTAGTATCCACAACAGTGCTTGAAAAACACAACTTGATGAAATTTTTGTAAAACCAATCCAATATTGCACTGCTGTCACATTACACCTGTCTGTCTTAATTTTGACATTGACAGTTAATAAGTTTAGTTTACATTTAGGTGTTAAGCACTTCCATTAGGATCCTTAAAAAACATTTGAATAGGTCTAGATAATAATATCGTTTTTCTTATAAAAGTGAATAATATGTAGTTCATTTGACCTGAAAGTAAAACTTTTATTTGGCATGTGAGCCGGCGTTTTAACAAAACGTATATCAGAGTTGCTATTTCAGATTTAAAACTACCAACCAATTATTTTTAAACTACTTTTTATCATTTTATTTACAATGACTAATACTATTTTAAGTCATTTCAACAATTTTTGAGTGAAACAAACGAAAACATTATTTTTATTTTTCATTTGTTTTTCGTCCGTAATGATTGTTAAAACTACTATACCATTCAAAATTTTACACACTGCGGTGCAAGCGTGACAAACGTCAAATTTTGTCAATAATACGTTTCACTGAACACAGTTTTTTTTTACTTGTATTTATGATAGGGAGTAGGATAAGCTCGTATTCTTTGTCTGAAAATTGTATGGAGATTTTGTGTTAGACACTCCGGTGTGTTGGTGTTCTTGATGGTGTCCGGCGACGATTCAAATGGTGGCCGTTTGTCGCGTAAAACTACGAGGTCCCCGAACCGTAAGTCGAAGAAGACAGATGCAGACCTAGCAAAGGGGTCAACGTTGCGAAATGGCTCGCAACCTTCTGTCCATAAAAGGAACCTTTATGTTGTTTCTTTCCCAATCATTATTCTTTTCAACATTTTGAGATCAATTTTATATCAACTTTTTATAATTTTTAAATATTTGTATACGGCATCACATCGGTTTACGCACAAGCCGCGAAACGCAGGCGAGTGTAACTTGGAAGTTGTGGTGAAAGACGGTATAGTGTCGACAGAACTTGCTGCAAGTGAAGAAATGTCTCATATACACAATGTGGGTCCGGGGGACCCTTTGCTGGCCAAGCAGAAACATCACCATCGAAAAGCTTTCGAGTATATTTCAAAGGCGTTGAAAATTGATGAAGAAAACGAGGGTAAGACATTTCTTTTTAAATTGCCATTTGCGCCACTAAATCTGTAATAAGAATTATAAAAACAGCCATATATTTATTTCATTGTTTTTCGTTTATGATGGCTCTTGACGAAGACTTTCTTGATTTGCCTCCATTTTATACTAAGATTAAATTTAAAATGAAAGAAATAGTAAATAAAAGATCTATACTATTATAAGAGTCAAACAAGTCATCTTGTTAGAATTATTTGTAGTGTTTCATAACTCTTCTAAAACATGTAAACTAAAAATCTTAACAGAAATATATATCTTTCCAAAATAATCTCAGGTAGATCAAAGAACAGACAAAAGAAGTAAACTAAGTTCATCATAGTGATTTCTTAATTTATTAATAAATATTTTAAGACAAAGACTTTGCAGTACTTAATAGAAGTATCCTGATAAATTAAAATACAGGGCTTGCAATTGAAAGGTATTTATAATTAATACCAAATAAAGATTAAACCAGTCTGACATAGACTGGAAGGAAATGGAAATAATTATATAAACCACTCTAAATAACAAGAGTATAATTAATAAAGGTTTCTTTGATAAAGGCAATTTTTTTTATATAAAACTACTGCTAATATAGGCTATCTTAAATGCTGATTCACCTACCAGTACTTTTGGGAACAAAAAAGGTGTCAATGGACAAATTCAATAGATCAAACAAATGTCAACTTTTAATCATACTTTTAATTTAAAATCTTTCACTTGGTCAATTTTGGTACATATTTACTAAAACTAAATAAAAAAAAACGATAAAACAAAAAAAAAAAATAGAGTAAGAGAAGTACTAGGTTACAATATAATAGGTATTTAAATAAATATTCTGAAAAGTTAAATGGAAGGCTCAGTTCTGTGTGTGAGTGGAATTTATCTATAATGTGTATGTACTTAGTAATATGTAAGTATGTTTATTAGCAGTCTGATTACCATAGTACAGGTTCTACGTAATTGGGGATCAATGGCAATGTGTAAGGTGCCATCTAGTTATTATTATTACTATATTATATATTGCCAGTTCAGACAGAAATCTATTAAATCCTACACAAATTAGTCTCTAAGAGTCTTGCATTTTAGAACTCCTTATCAGATGATTAAGGATTAGATTATCTAGGCCACATGGCTGACAAATCTTCCTACACACAAACATAGATTAATAGAGATATTTACGAGCGCACTGCACACTCTGAATATAATTGGAGATAAGATAGATTTATTCTGTTGTTCACTGAGTGGATTCACAATAACAGCATTAAGAATTATTTCTTATAATAAATAAGTAGATGGTATAACATTATCGCATTAGGCTAAACCTGTAATGATAGTTGTTTTTAATGGAAATAAACAAATAAAAGTTAAAAATAAATTTAAAACTTCAGATCAGAAACTATGTTCAAATTATTATTTCATACAATATACCAGTTTTATACATTAATTGTACAGTTATGTGCAGTTATTCGTGTATGTAGATTTAATTTGTTGCTATGCTGGTGTTTATCTTGTTTCCTGTAAGTCAAAGTCTCTGTTAATTAGTTAGTAATTAGTAGTTGGTGCCAAATTTTGTCTACATGCCTGATAGATCTTGATTAGTATTAGTATCTTATAAAATCTTATATTTTACTAGCCATTGTCTGCAGCTTCATGTGATTATATCTTAGTTCATGTTTCTAACTTAGATTATGATGAACTTCCACACAACCGTTCATGCCTTATTTTACCCCCTTAGGGGTGAAATATCTACCGGCATTAACTTTCTGCCATTGTTCCAAATTGGATAATTGGCACTCTACCGCTGTGCGCTTTTCAAGACACTTTTTGGCTCATACTAATTTATACTACCCTCAAGAAAAGAGCGTACTCCTTCCTCAAAGGCCAGCAACGCGGTTGTGACTCACGTGATGGTCGCGATGGCGATAGTCACTTTCCATCAGGTGACCTGTCTGCTCGTTTGCCCCCTCTTCCATAAAAAAATCATAGTTATTTTTTAGACTTCATTATCTATGATTAGGAGATATTAATATATTTTTGGATTTGGACGATACAGGGATATATTTTGGTTTTTATTAGGAATATCTTGTAGGTATCGTGTATTGTACACACCATGTATGGATAATTCGCTCGCCATCGTTACAATGTTGTCCAGGCCCTGACTTTTGGAGGTAATTAAGGCTGAACTGGTCTGTATTTCATTTCATGAAAGTTAAAAAATAATTCAACCAAGGGCAAATCCTTTCGGCCCAATTACACTAAACTAGTTGATTTATGAACAAGTTTAATTTTCTCACCTTTATGAGCTGCCCGTAAACTTTACAAAGTTGAGTCATTTATTAAGAAACCACATGTTACATAAAATTATAGTCTTATATAATAAAATCAATAACTGTGCGTATGTTACGCGCTGCTGTGTCGGCGGCTTATTACGAAATTTTGCATACCCGTTGCCAAATATACTAAAGGACCCAGGGTACGTTGTATCCTGAAATTAAATATTTAGTTTAGATCGTAAAATTTTGCTTTTTTTTTTCATTAACAGTGCATTTTGCTATAACTGGTAACTGATTGCGGTCATAGTTTGTTACGAAAAATGATATTTTTTGTGCTATAACGATGTCCCGTAAAGTCGACCTATCCCGTGTTTCACATCACACATCACATCAACAGCCTTTACTAGTCCACTACTGGACATAGGCCTCACCTTAGAAAGTATCCCGTGTTTATTTTAAATCAATCCTTCACACCATCACCAAAAGATTTGGATAATTTATGTCCGATTTGTCGTTCTATTAGTAATGAAAGTTAAAATATTAAATATACGATGAAATGGAAAGTAAACAGATGACTAATTAGCATTCAGTAATAAGAGGATTGATAGGAAATATTAGCGGCTTGCGTAACGAGAACCGGTAGTAATATTAATTAAAGATAGACAGTTTTAGTTATTAGTGCATTTCTGGGATGTCCGATTAGCTTTAGACCCGACGGAAGCCATTTTTAACCGACTTCAAAAAGGTGTCATTTTTTTTTTATGTTTGTTCGCGCATAACTTCCTCATATATAGACGGATTTTCAAAATTATTTTTTTGTTCGAAAGAGGTTATTCCGAAATGGTCCCACTTAAATTTCATATAGATCTGATGATGAGTTTCGGAGACAGACATGGAACTCCTCAAAAAATTACAGCAAATCAACGCGATTGCTGCTAGATTTTTAGTGCTTTTTGTTAGTATTGTTTGAACTTTTTTAAAGGGATTTTCTTGTTCAAGGAACGTAACGTCCTACCGCGACGCAGTTAAAACTCCTGACGCCTGTAAATCAAAATAAATACATAAAATAATACATTTAAATACTTCTTTTGCGTACATCTATTTTCGTTTGCTGCTAACATGCTCTCTATAGTAGAAATAGTTTTAGAAGGTAACGATGTTTCGATACGAGTAATCACACGATAAATCGTCTTAAGACGTCAGACTGACTTTTCGTAAGGCTGTTTAACCTGGATTTAGCTGTCAAACCGTACTCTGTTCCAATAGATAGAACAGAAATGTATTATCATAATAACAGTCATGCAAGCTATATTTATTTTTGCTACAAGTAAATTAAAGGAATACCGCCGAAATTTAAATTGGCATGATGTTAAAAGTTTGTCGTCACCAACCTTAAGTCTGAACTGACTCAGTCCGTCAACCTGTGACTGCTGGAAGGGTAGCCTGGTCGGAACATCAAGCAATTTAAAATATGTAATGTATTACGTAGAGGTTAATTCCTATATAATATGTATAAACAATTATTTGAGTGCACGGATGGCGTAGTGGTTTAAGCGATCATCTCGGCGCTTCCTACTGCGCTGCGTGTTGTGGTTTCGATCACCACATGGGACAACACTTTGTGTGAACCACAAATTGTTGTTCTGAGTCTGGGTGTTATTTGTGTCCGTTTCATAAATGTCTGTAAAGTCCTCCGCGATACAGGATATTTTCCTAGTGCGGGAGATGTCTTTTTTTTACTAAAGAATTATATTTATACACAGGAAGTAACTATGAAACAGTGTCAGTAAATTAAAACATGCAGAAGAATTTGCAGAATTTTCTTTAATATATGGGTATTTCGTTATTTTACAGACTTGATCACAATATTTATCAAACTAAATACTTTTTTTTTGCGTTCATGTATTTTTGTTTGCTGCTAACATGCTCTATAGTAGAAATAGTGTAAGACGGTAACGATGTTTCGATACGAGTAATCACAGGGTATAAGACTTCAAACTGACTTCTCTGTTTATCCTGGGTTTAGCTGTCATACCGTACTCGCTACGCACTCCGTAAACGTTAAGGCGTGTTCCTATAAATAGAACAGAAATGTATTATTTTAATACAATTTTGTTATTGTATTAATTCGAAAACATATATGTACTCGTATGTACATTTAAAGTAAACCCACAAGTAGTAGTAGTGAAGTGTTTATGATTTACAATGCTAAGCGAATTCTTTATCAATGGGATCTATGGAGATTTATACATTGTCAAGACGCTTACATTCCTGTAACAGACGGCGGAAAGAGAAAGTTATACCTCATTGAGTGACTGTAATACAAACAAAAAGTAAAACTTTCTCGATTTTTGGAAGAGGTTTTGCATAGAATCTTAGATTAAAGTTGTAACTACAAACTTCTATCTTAAGAAACAGTGTTGGGATACCATGAGTGCAAAGAAATACGCTACACTATGTAAAAATTACAGTCTTTGACACAGAAGTGAAAACAGTACCTACCTACGTACATACGTCTTACTCGTTGAAAATTACTCTAAAAAATAACTAACAATGGAATTCCTAATTAAGTGCAAAATAACAATTAAATGAAAAACATTCAAAACCATTCAATGTTCCGATTATTTTTTTTGCCTTTTTCCCGCGAAACTCTGCGGGAATTTTTCTTTGTCCCGTCCGAAACTTATGCTAACGTAAAATTACTGTACTAAAAACGTAAAGGTGTTATATGATTAATACATGTAGGTGTGATTGAAAATAGTGAGGTCGGAATTCTATCTTAAGCACCATATTCACAGAACCAAAATCCGTCATCGATAAACGATAATGATGGATGTTCCTATCGTTCGTGTGATGTTTTTCCCTACACCAGTACACGTAGCGACACTGACTGCCCTTAAGTATATCACCATCCATTCATCATAGGTTGTTGTCGTACAAGCTCGAACGTTATAAGTTCTATCATCTAATTGAATAATTCGATTCCCAGGCCAAAAGGAACTAGCTATCGAGCTATACAAGAAAGGCATTTATGAGTTGGAACGAGGAATCGCCGTGGACTGCTGGGGCGGCCGTGGCGACGCCTGGCAGAGAGCACAACGATTACACGACAAAATGAAAACCAACCTCGGAATGGCGAAAGACCGACTTCACTTCCTTGGTATGAGATTATAAAGTATTATATAAGACACTTAAATCACTGCCACATCTGTCCAAGCTAAATTTACAATGCTATTTATTTTGGAAGTGGAAATTGGCTGTATGTTTGCATGCCCAGCTTGATATTTTCTTTTTTAAACATGAAACAAATTATTCCTAAAGTTTCTTCAACTTAATTTACTGTTCCCCAATGTAGCGAACCTTGTCGCGCTCAGTAAGTTGGGCGTAGAGAGTGAGGCCGACAGAAGCGACAAAAAGCCAACGGAGTCGCCTCTAAAGGCGCGAAGGCCGTTAGAGAAGTCGAAGACGACGTTACTCGCGCACACAGAAAGTAACAGTGGTCAAACGAAGCCACCGAACGAAGGTAGAATATACAGAAATAATGCTTAGCTTCGTTTGACGTAACCTACTGCAAAATACAAAACGAAATCAAACTAACCTCCCGACTCTAACTGTTTTAACATTACACTTGACATTGGAAGTCTGATTGGAACTTTGTTTTAATTGTCAGTGTTTGTATGTGGGTCCCTGTGCCTATCATATTCCAGCTTGCCGTGTAACACTTTAAAGATTTAATGCATTTTATTTATTTATGAAGTACTGTGCTTTTTTGAGTATTGTCTTTAACATTTTTTTATTTATACTCATCTAAATACATTATTTATAAGTCGCTGGCTTTTGTATCAACTAATGCTATTCCCACGGCAATTCTAAATTTAGTATTTTATGTAGGTATTACTGTAAGTAGGTAGATAACACTAGCATGTTTAATGCTTTATTAAAGGCATCTTATCTATGTGTGTTTAACTCAAAAACGCGGTCGACAAAGTTTGTCGCAAAATATTTTAGGATTTAATCTATAATAGGAATAATATTATAAATAATATTGCTAATCTTATTTTGCACATTCCTTTTGCGAAGTACAAAGATATAGATATGTGCCACGATTGTTTGACTCCGTACGGAGGAAGTAACGCAGGGTATATTTTCATATCAGCTCTTTCTTATTTTTTATTAATTGAAATTTCGAGGTTCGGAAATCATAACTTAAAAAGAATAACTTTCTCCTTTCTCAAGTTTTACAAATGCTGTTTCCTCCTGTACAGTTCTTATGGTTTCATACTTCCTCCGTGGAAGTAAAACGGGTATATTTTTATCTCAGCTCTTTCTTTTATATTTAGTTGTGAGATAAGCTTCCGTAGGTCTAAATTATCTTCATGAAAAATTCATAGCTAATTGACTTCGCTCTTTTTAGTACAGAATACTAAATATTAATTTATTTTAAGCTCACGTGACTGACATTAGAGTATAGTGCACAGTCGCTAAAGGCTGTTATTGAATTTTTAAAGCTACCTTATTTTTGTAATGAGTGAGAATTAAACTAGAATTTTTTGTAGATAGTTTCTAATGTAAGTTGTATGGATTCCACTTCTCATATTTAGAGTATGAGTTTTTAACGAATCCGTAAAACGTAGATTGTAATTAAGTTATTTTACTGTAACTTAAGCTCAAAACCATAAGCTCATTATACATCACTAGCTTACTTCCGCTACTCCGCTCTCATATACATAGTCATGGTGATCTTCAGGGTTGATAACCTACAAATGATTAACTTTTTGGCTCTCTTTGTTATTTCCGTTTGCCTAATTTAGTACACTGGTCTCTCGGCAATAGTGAGTTCTCTCTAACTCCTTATTGTTCTTTTAAAATGAGAAATATTTTAAAATTTATCCCAAAATCGCTATTTAATTGGGTTACATAATATGATTTGACTACTTATTTCTATCTAAGAAGATTGCCACAAGAACGTCTTTGAAAGATGTTACATCCTATTGCTTATTGTTACTATTAAATACCTGCATTATGGAATTCATAACAATAGATTACCAAAGCTAAATCAATGTAACATTCAAGGTTTCTAGAAACAAACACGCCATAAAATCTAACAATAACATGAAATAGTTCGAAGCTCATTTTAAACCAACCGAAAAATATTAGGATAATTTGTGTAACCAGCCTCGACAGTTTCAGCTCATTACATTTGTATGTTGTTGAACATGTTTGTTGGGAAGCAACGGAGCGTGCACATACGCATGATCTTTTCATTTAACTTGTTTCCCCAACATCTCGTCACAGTTCAATGGATGGTGAACAAATAGTGATGGCTATTTAAAGTATTAACAAATTAGTCACTGAAAGGGAACGCTTTGGTCATTTGACGTGCTCTGAATGTAATGGGGGTTTAGTCACAGAATGAGTGTTTCGTATATTTTTAAACAAAGCTGTCTGTGGCTATCTTGTATCTGTGTACCTAATTTCTCATAGCGTTCGGAACACGTCACATTGTCGTACCTACATTACAATTTCTTCGAACACAAATGAGGTCACCCATTTTTCTAAACTGTTTTAATACATTGACCAGAAAACGTAAAACCGGCTGTTTAATTTCTAAGTAATAAAATAAAAGATGAAGATGCCTATTCATTTCTAGTGATCTCTTGAAATCGTGTGTAGTTGTATAATATATAAATATTAAATGAGCTCATTTATAAAATAAACAGATATCAAATCGATTGACTGAATAGAGTTTGATTTAATTATTAACGATAACTTAATATCAAATGATAGGGGAAATATGCCTGGGTGAGCACTAAGCATCCTAACTTTAAGGCTCTAAGCGACGTTACATAACATAATAACTTGTTAGAGAATACTGACAGTCTTCTGGGAATGCTACCAGTCGAACTTAATGCCGTTAAAAAAACATTAAATTAACTTAATAAACTTAAATAATACTGTATTGATGGATTATATAGTTGTTTAGTAGTTATTCGGTTATAGTGAAGTGTAATATCAAAAATGATACGTTAGTTTAGTTGCAAGTTACTAACACAGTTTAATGGTATTGTAATGCAACTAAGCGAATAGTGGATGTTGAGTTGTTGAGACAAAAATGAATAGTACCGATCTAAAACTCAAAATAAAAGATTTTAAGTACCAACTACCTCTACATACTAAGTACATTTAATGTACTTATTATGTAGAGGTAGTTGGTACTTAAGGATATTATGTCTATGCTTAACTTTGTAGGTTAATGGTATATTACAATACATAATCCTACGCAAGCTGTATCTACTGAGTGAAATACACAATTAAACCAATGGTCCTTCATTGAGATTGACGGTTGACACAACTAAACCCTATTAACGCCATTGTTCATTTGTCCTAAAAAGCCAAGGAATCATTGCAACTTTTAAACTGTAACAATGTCCCAAACGGTCGGTTTGTGCTAAATATTTAAAGCGTTTGAAAAACCTCTTTGTCAACATTATGTGGCACAACATAAAATATCATGGTTTTGTTAGATACTATATACATACATAACTATACTATCGCCTGTATCAGTATCACATCAATCACATCAACAGCCTTTAATAGTCCAGTGCTGGACGTAAGCCTCTCCTTCGAAAGATTTTGGCCTACTATACCACGCTGGCCGGACAGGTTTTTTTATAGGGTTTGTGTCAAGTTTTCCTTCTCTTTGCATTGCTGTTGTCCTACGTAGTTTGCTCCCTACCACACCCACGTCAAAGTGACGTGAAGTTGACTGCACGGATGGCGTAGTGGTTTAAGCGGTCGCCACGCCGCTTCCTACAACGCCGAGTGTTGTGGGTTCAAACCCCACATGGGACGACACTTTGTGTGATCCACAAATTGTTGTTCTGAGTCTGGGTGTTCTTTGTGTCCGTTTCATGTATGTTTGTAAAGTCCCCCGCGACACAGGATATATTCCTAATGCGGGAGTTGTCTTTTTTTAAAAAAAAAAAAAAATAAAAATAAAAATAAAAAATAAAAGTCAAGCTCATAATGTGTAATGTTAAGCCCTTTGGAGTTTCCCTGGAGAAATTTCAAGTATTTTGGAAAGAAAGGTAGATAAGAAGGGAAGGAAATGGTAGGAAAGGGATATTAGTACTTATATGAATGGATTATAGAATGCAAACGATAATTCAATCAGGTTAGGTTAGCTTAACTCTATTAGTGTACAAATATTTGTGTGATGAACACAATCACTTATTCTGTGTCTGGGTGTAATTGATCTATAATATGTATGTATTTAAAAATATATAAGGATGTTAATCAGTCATCGGGTTACTATAGCACAGACTGCCTAGTTTAGGATCAGACGGCCGTGTGTAATGTGACGGGACATGTAAAATAAAACTCTTCAATTTTACCCCATCCATAGTAAACTTTCCCTTTATATGTAAAATAACTTGGGCAATAAAATCACCTACACGTCAACTGATCATATATTTTAATGAGTAAATTAACGATAAACCAGCACCAAGAACCCTGACCGAAATTGCGATAAAGATTAAGCGTCCTTTGATTAATCAATCGTGACTTGACCCATAAAAGTGAAGACCGTGACTGCAGGAACACTCCCATCCGTTTAAGGCATATCATCTTTATGAAGATCATGTTACAGATCGATTTATTAAGATGACGATAACGGTTAAATCATTAGTTTGTCCTCCTTAAAAGTATTTGCTGACTAATGTTGATGATTATCAAGAATTATACGATAAGAGAATAGCATACTCGTCCCGACCAGAACATCCCATCAACATCCAACGTCCCGAGAACATCTTCCCTTTGTGGAGTGGTTATATCCACAAAGGGAAGATGTTCTATTGTCGTCTGAAGTTTTTCTGTACGTTCACCGATATTTCCGTTATCTGTGATCTGACTTTAGAAGATATTTAAGATATTTTTATGGAACTGTATGCTTCAGTGATAGGAAAATTGTCAATGAGGGAACCTCTCACAAATTAAAGAAACATGTAGTGTTCATTTTTTTATTTATAAACCGATAAATTTTATATTATTTTTTTATTGTAAGGTTTTTTAAGAGAAAAAGATCCTTTCAGATCCGAAGTCATACATTACATTTATGTTTAACAAAATAGGCCAAAACCTCCTTTTTAATGAGAGGTCTATGTCCAGCAGTGAACTAATAAAGGCTGTTGAACAAAAAGCTTACAATCGAAGAATTCCTTTCACTTATTTATTTGGTGAAAAATAAGGTATGATTACGTTCACAAAATGGGCACATCGAGTAAAAAAATAGAAAATCAATGCGCTCTCGTGGCTTAAAAGATTCGTGTAATACACAGACATCACCGAGGTTGAAAGTACGAAAAAGTTTTTATAGAATGTCTGTTGTCACAAAGGAACGCTACACACAGAATACAGTCTGCTATCGATCTGATCTAAAGAAAGTTCACTATCACTGATGTAAAAAAAAATGTTTTCCACAGTCTATTTGCCGCAAACCTTTCGCAATCTAATGTCAGACAATTC